AAGGCTAACCCTTAGTTATTTGGTTTCTGTTTCATGAGTTCAAGGCACTAATTTGATGACTCGGATTTGTTACAGGTTTTTGGGTGCTGCTAGCATTGCTGGTGTGGGGCTCACATTTTAAGAATCATAAATTGGATTGTATGGTGTACAACATACAATTTCTAGATGACTGGTCATCAGTGCTTACTTGAGAAGGGGAACAGCTCTGGAAAAGCAGGCAGATTTGCCCCCCTACCATATTTTCGATATTTTCAGTTAAATACTTGCTAGTACTTTTTGTCACAAGAGCTGTAAGTTGCCTATGGTGACTCTGTTTTGTTACCTTGGATGAACTTTGTTTTTCTGAGTGCCAGTACCTGGAAGGGAGAACCTAAGAAAAACAATTCTGCGAATGAAAACAACTCCAGGATACTGGCTCTCTGCAATGGTCAACCTGACCTCGCTGTTTTTGCTAATTGCACATTTTGGCTTTTGTGACTATCTTCTTAGTTTGCAGCTGTGAGAAGGGAACCTTGAGGACTACTGTGATGAGACATCACAACCATGGCAACTCTTATGAAGGGAAACATTTAATTAAGGATGGCTTACAATTCAGAGGTTTAGTCCAGTATTGTCATGATGGGAGTTTGACAGCACCCAGGCAGACATGGTGCTGGAGAAGGAGCTGAGAGTTCTACACATGGATGGGCAGGCAGCAGGAAGAAAATGACACACTGGGCCTGGGTTTGAGGATCTGAGACCTCAAACCCTGACCCCAGTGACACACTTCCTCCAACAAGGACACACCTACTTCAACAAGGACACACCTCTTAATATTGCCACTCCCTTTTAACCTATGGGGAGGGGAGCATTTTCTCTCAAACCACCACAATTTTCAATCCAGGATGTGGTTTTCTTGTTTCAGTATGGGTCCTGAGAAAGGCTCAGGACTGCACGTAGATTCTGATTATGTAGACATAGTTTCCAGCTAGCTGGAATAAACACTTTCAACATCTTCTCTGCTGGGAGCCCCACCACATTTTGAACTAAAACTTTTTGCATGTTTCCTTTCATTTAAAACTTTCTGTTTGCTCATTTCCCAGTGATAAGACATCAACCAAATATTGATTGCAAGTCTAAAACTGCATTTTGGAGGCTACTGTGTAGAATATTGGCTCAGATTTGTAGTCCTTGCTGTGTAGAACCAAATGTCACTTCACTAAGTGAAGCAGCACTGCTACCGTAAGTAGCCAAAGTCTGACTCAGCAGTATGTGAAAAGGGGTAGTAAGGCAGAATGTCCATCCTGAAGTATTTGACAATACTTCAGTGTAAGGGGACACTAAAATACATTTTTTTAACCTATAAGTATAATATTTGGGAACCCTTATTCAGAAAGAGTGTTTTGCTCACAAGTATTCTTTATATTCACTAAACAAAGGCTATCTTAAATAAGATGCATAAATTCATAGACAGTGGTAAATGCAAAAATTCCAACTGTTTTAACCAAAGGCTTACTTCTGTGCTAACAGTATCTTTAGAACTCAGCAAAAATTATTTTCCCACAACACCAAATGTTATAATTTAAGTAACAAGCTTCAAATAATTTGACACTCAATAATAATGGATTTCACCACCTTACTGATGAATCTTTTAAAAAAAAACATCTATTAAAAACAATCCAGTTTCTAGAAATAGGTCTAAGGAGATACAGTGGTCTTCATTAAAACTCCAGTAGTTACTATTTTAATGGAATGTCTTGATTTAGGGGCAGAATTTAGGACAATGTTTAGAGTTTATCAAAACATGTTACTTATCAGCTGGATGTGGTGACACACGCCTTTAACTCCAGGAGACAAGGATGAGCAGATCTTTGAGTTTGAGGCTAACCTGGTCTACAGAGTGAGTTTCAGGACAGTCAGGGCTACATAGAGAAACCATATCTCAAAAAACAAATAAACAAATATTGTTACTTATCATCTAGGGGTCATTTTCTCTGCCAGTTAAAGACTGAAAAGGCAGGAAAATCTTAGACAACAGAAAGTAGTAAAGAGATTCAACACATAAAGAAAAGGTTATTAGGGATGAGGAAACACACACACACATATTCTTGCATACAAACACATACATGCAAATGACACACAAAGAGAAAGACCCTCTGCAAAACAGAGGCAGGGTGGTGTAAGGAATAAGAAATAAGTCAACACAAAAAAATGAATGGACTCATTTTGATCCTAAAACAGCAAGAACAGACTGTATTGGTCTTTAAGGGTGGCGCCTGCAGCTCAATATCTGAGGCTACAGGAGAGAGCACCATGCTGGGCCTAAGAATATGTTTTTGTATGGGGTGGGGTGGTTGGCTTCATGAGGTCCAGAAACTGCTCTTTATTGAGATCAACTGATTGCCTGGTTTTGTGTCCTCAGGACTGGGGGCCTGTGGCAATGGTTGGCTACTTTCCAGTATTTAAGATTTCTTGAAGCCTTCGGCCTATCTTATGGCCCTGATTTGGGGTGGGAAGTTTCCTTTAGATGCAAAAACAAAGCCAGGTCTCTCCTACAAGCTGGGATTTTAATTGTCTTGGACGAGTCTTCCTTCCCTAATTTAGGATTGGAACAAGGAGAAACTGGTAAGTCTATAAATCTGGGGTGAACAGGTCATCGTCTGACCTTGAACTTCTCTAGGATCTTGAACTTGTCAGACTGATCCACAGGCAGGCATGAGGGTGACAGAAAAAGCTGCCAGGCTTTTGTTGTTGTTGTTTCTTTTTTGGTTTCTCAAGACAGGGTTTTTCTGTAGCTTTGGAGCCTGTCCTGGAACTAGCTTTTGAAGGCCAGGTTGGCCTTGAACTAACAGAGGTTGGCCTGCCTCTGCCTCCTGAGTGCTGAGATTAAAGGCAGGTGCCACACTGCCCACCCTTCCAGACTTACTATTTATTTATTTAGTCTCAGGTCAGGAGGCTGAGGAAGAAGCCAGATGCTATCTTGGAAGTTCACCATCTTTGTTACGTAATCATGGCCTTCTCCCTAGGCCTGCCTATCTGAGATTGTAACTCCCAGTCCCTCAGAGCGTCATAATTCAACATTGTTGAAGTGATATTAGGAAGGCCTTCAGTTTGTAGCTCTTGAAAAAGTGAACCTCCACTTAGAGTTCCTCCCATCTGGAAATGACGGCTGTGTTTTGAGAGAGTGCTTATCCTCTACTTTTCTCTTTACGATGCTCTCCAGCACATTTTGACATAATCTGTCTGCAAAGTGAACTCTTTGAGCCACTGAGCTTAATTTGGGATCCCACAGGAGCATTATGGGGTAGGGAGCAAATTACCAGTGGTTACAGCACGGAAAAAAAAAACTCTTTCCCCACCGACCATTAACTGCCTCTAGATGAGAACTTTTCTCGTCTGATGCAATATATGTTTGTCTACTTGACTGATGGAAATAGAGGTGGGATATACATTTAAATTACAAATGATGAAAAGCATTCAGTTCAGTAGAAATTATAGTTATAAACCACAAGACTATAGCTACAGCTCTTATTCCAATTCCTTCTCCTCTTCTAGACAGCCATTTTCTACATAATTTTAGATATGTTACCTATCTTCATCTTGTTTCCATAAAACAAACTTAAGTAAATTATTAGAAAAGGCACCTAGCAGTTCTGAAACCTTGCGCTTGCTTGCAACATTCCAGCTCAGCAAGAAGAGTGGGGAACCCATGTGTAGGAGTTGGATATCTAAGTAAGTTCTTGGTAGCAATTATTATGAGAACGTGAGCATAAAGAGGTAAATTTGTGCTACTCCCTTCAAAAATTGTCCATTATATCTAGCAAAGGCCAAATGTGTCTAAGGTGTGTATTGTCATAATTGTATGTATGGTCAGGATAGAGCAAGCATACTGCGTCTGAGGTCAAGCGGTCGTAGTCTGAATTATCTGAAATGGTCTCAGATTGTTAAGTTTACCTCAGTAATCAAAGAGGAGATAAAGGGTGGAGGGGAGATAAATAACACGTCATCATGAAATTTAATTCCAGTTATTTCTAATAGGACAGGGGGAACGGTGCATCCAGCTTTGAAAAACTTTCCATACATTGGCAGAATTAGCTATGACCCAACGAAAGAACCGAATTGATGATTCCGAGCTTTACACTTTAAAACAAATCTCACCTGCTTTGAGATGTGTGGTTGCCAAAAGCAACCTGAGATCAACAGAAATATTTTCTGTAAATCATCACCAACCACACTCAAAGCGTACTTTATCTTCAGTTTTCTTCAAATATCTTCTCAATCTTCAGTGTCAACTCTCCAATTTCAAATTAAAAGTATTATGTGAAGCCTACCTAGCTTACAACTTTTTACATGTGAGTACCATTTTGAGATCACACACTTAAATATTCCATAGTACCACACATTAAAGTACTTAAGGTCACATTTTAGAACGCACTAGAACATAGATAGATATTAATGACTTTATTGTTTATTTTTAAGGAAGGATCTTACACTGTATCCCAGGTTGCTCTGGAACTAGGTACAATCCTCCTGCCTCAACCTCTCAAGTGCCTCGACTACAGGTCTGGGCCAGCACCCACCGCAATAGTAACTAAAATGATAAGCACAAGAGAAGTGTTCCTCACCTAAAACGCACCTACTCTTAATGTTAACTCAATCTCTCTGGGCGTGGCACAAGGAAAACATTGCCTTGAACATTAAGAGCGAAAGGGTGTTTGTCTGTGTCAATCAGAAAGCGTCAATCTTCACTACCCGCTAGAGACGGCAGGATGAAGGTTCTAGCAGTTCATCTCACTGGCAATGGAGAACAGCAGTAACTGGAAACAACTTTTAGTTTGAGAGCTTGGAGGTTAGAAAGCCTCTGCAGAGCAACAGAGGGCGCAAGAACCCCGTCTCTCCGGAGCCTGCTGGCCGCGGTTCCCGCGCCCGAACCAAACCCCGCCCCTCCCTCGGGCTCTGGCCACTCGGAGAACTCTGAGCAGAGTGATTGACAGGACGGCCGTCCGCGGCGTTGCGTAAGCGCTTCACTCCGGAAACGGCGACCTCCTTGTGCTTCCGGCCAACGCTCTCCCAGCATCCCTTGCGTGCCGGCCTCGCCCTAGCTCGCCCGGCAGCCACGGGCCTTGTGCGCTGGATTTTGAGCGCGCGTCCGCCCGGGGCTGGGCCTGGGACGCGGCTGCGCGGCATGGCGCAGCTGGAGGGCTACTACTTCTCGGCCGCCCTGAGCTGCACCTTCCTGGTGTCCTGCCTGCTCTTCTCCGCCTTCAGCCGTGCCCTGCGCGAGCCTTACATGGACGAGATCTTTCACCTGCCGCAGGCGCAGCGCTACTGCGAGGGCCGCTTCTCCTTGTCGCAGGTTGGTCCCTGCTGGCCCTGCCCCGGGACGGGCTCCTCCCAGCCTCTGTGTTTCCCTTTCCCTGTCTGCCCTCCCAGACTCAAAACGTGAAAGGAACTGGGTAAAGGCTGACTGTACCTACGGTGTATTTGTTAGGTGATGCGAAAAATGCGGACTCCAAATTATAGCTCCTCTTAGCAGTTTGCCTTCCTAAGTCCCAGGACTAGAGGCATGCAGATGTCCCTTGGAAATGCAGAAAACAGAACAAAACTAAACCAAAACTACCCCAAACTTACTTTAAAAGGTATTCCACTCAGTGTTTTGGACTCCGAATGGAGCCTCTTAGGCCACCAAAGACTGATAGTTTCATTCTAACTTCATCATTGAATGTTTTTAGAAACTTGCTCTTGTCTAGATTAATTGGCAACTAGTCAGATTGCATCATTTAAAAGACATATATATGTTTGATTACATAAATATGCATAATGGAAAGATAAATGCCATATATTCTCTCATGAACGCAATATGGGTTACCACTTCAAAATATAAAGTCCGTTAAAAAAAAATCCTAATTCCCTGGTGCTGTTGCTCATAACCTTTGCCATTTTAAGGACCACGAACCTGCAAAGTAATAGTAACTACAGTCTCTAATACAGAATGTATTGCAAGATATCAAACAGGGCTAAGCCCAAGTCCCAAACTAACAGGTTTTGTGTTTAGAAATCTTGTAATGCAGTCTCTCTAAATACTTAAGTATCTAAAAATCCTCCAGAGTTCAACTGTTTTTGGCCTGGCTTGTAAAATTGGGGCCTGTGCAATTTAGTCATAGAATACATGTTTTCTAAAGAGCAAGCCTTGGAAAGTAGAAACAAATTGTAACTTACTGTCTGTTGGTTGATGATACCCTAATAATCGCAAACAGGTTTGCGACAGGGAGCAAAATGGTTTCTTAAAACAGGCTGGAGCGGTGCCTCAGTAGCTGGTAGTTCTTGCTGTTCGGGCTGAAGACCAGACTTCCCTTTACCCACATTGAGCTGCTCACAAACCATCTGTAACTCCAGTTCCAGGGGACCCAGTGCCCTCTTCTGTCTTCCACAGGCACCTGCTTGTCTATGTTGCACATACGTATACTCAGATGTGTGGGCACACACATTCAGTCTTAAACTGGAACTTAAAGACATCTCATCTGCCAGGATTTATTTAATTATGTCATAGAATGTCCTTAACATTATTGGAACAAATGAAAACTGATTTTTGACATTGGTATCAGTGGTGTCATTGTTGCTTCAGCTTCCCTGATGGTCTTTTCTTTTTAAGTGGGATCCTATGATTACTACGTTGCCCGGCCTGTACCTGGTGTCAGTTGGAGTGGTCAAACCCGCCAGCTGGATCCTTGGATGGTCTGAACATGTTGTCTGTTCCATTGGAATGCTCAGATTTGTTAATCTTCTCTTCAGTGTTGGCAACTTCTATTTACTATATTTGCTTTTCAGAAAGGTACAACCCAGAAACAAGGTAAGTACAGACTAGAGTTATTACAAGTTTCTGTGCAGTCAAGTTACAGTTATAGAAGATTAAGGAATATGTCCAACGGTTAGTTTTTGTATGTTTTATAAAGCTAAATGGAGGCTCTCTACTTATGTAGAAGGTGTTTATATTTAAATATGAGAATAGCTTTACTTGAAAATCTAAAGAAGGTGTTGGTTAGTAAAGCAAACCAGTTTAATAACTCCATGCTTTCTCTAGGAAATTAGATAGTCTAATGAATCTTAGCCGAGGGAACTGGATGTGACTTCATACACAAGTCTTGGAGGTTGGGTGCCTGGATTTAAATTCAATCCTGGCTACTATTTATATGAACATGAGTAAATTACTTTTTTGTGATTTTATATCTTTATCTACTTAAAGTAATTTAAATATCAATAGTAATAATGCATTTTGCTTCATTGAATTTGTATTAAGAGTAAAGGAGCTTGCTTAATAAAGGGAAGTTGCTTAGGCTAATACCTAGTACAAAGTTTTAATAAATGTTAATTATGGCAGCAGTATTTACCTGTGACAGAGTACTTTGATTTTTACAATTTTTTCCCTTATTAGTTTTAATTATATGTTTGTAAATTGCACAGTTTCTACTATTTAATATTTTGTATAAAACTTTATAGTATACAGATTTTCAGATGCAACACGGTGTATCATATATGTGCCAAGTTTACAAGCTGTTGTGGATCTTTATCTATGTATTTGAGACAGGGTCTCACTGTGCAGCCCTGGCTGACCTCAAATTCTGTGCAGGTCTGGCTGTCCTAGAACTTATAGAGATCCACCGGCCTCTGCTTTCCAAGTTCTGAGTTTAAAGGTGTGTGTCACCACACGTGACCTGAGGAGGGCTTTAGTCGAAGGGTTGGCACGGACTGTGTATGACAGAGTTAAGTGAAGGATATAGTTCAGAGAGATCCAGAATAGTTATTTCTGAAATTATCAAAGAAGACATTTAGTTTAGAGTAGGCCTGGATTTCTTTTTTTAGGAAAAATTTCTTGTCATTTCTTTGTACAAAAAGTAAGCTCATTGGGCAGGGTGAGGAATACTGTCTACACATTTCAGTTTTCTCTAGTGTAGAGATTTGATGGGCGGTCTTTAAAGAACTAGGTGAGATGGGCTGAGACCCTAGTTCAAGGTCGTAGTAGCTGTGTCATCTTACTGAGTTCTGTTCTTCCCTGCGTTCCCTATGACCTTAGTCCAGGGTCTCCTATTCAGCGACCCTTAAATAATTTGTTCAGTGATTCAAAAAAAAATTTAAGCTCTTAAGAGGTTTACACCATTAGTATTTTAATGGTTTCCAAGCTGATTAAGGTAACTACAAATTGCCAGAGGTATTATGCATGGTGTTGCAAAGTCAGAAATATGCTTCATTTGAATTAAACTGCAGTGAGTTTTTAAATAAATCTCTTCATTAATTCAGCAGAAATAGCGTATTTATTTTACCTTAAAAATAAAATTTTTTCTTTTTCCTTCAAGGCTTCTTCAAGTATCCAGAGGATCTTGTCAACGTTAACCCTGGCACTATTTCCGACCCTCTATTTCTTTAACTTCCTTTATTATACAGAACCCGGGTCTGTGTTCTTTACTCTTTTTGCCTACTTGATGTGTCTTTATGGCAATCATAGGACTTCAGCCTTGCTTGGCTTTTGTGGCTTCATGTTTCGTCAGACCAATATCATCTGGACTGCCTTCTGTGCGGGGCACATCATTGCACAGAAGCTGAGTGACGCCTGGAAAACCGAGCTGCAGAAGAAGAAGGAAGAGAGGCTTCCCCCTGTCAAAGGACCATTTTCAGAACTCAGAAGAGTTCTTCACTTTCTTCTGGTTTATTCCATGTCGTTGAAGAACCTGAGTATGCTTTTCCTTTTGACCTGGCCCTACATCCTCCTGCTGGTTGCATTTCTTGTTTTTGTGGTAGTTAATGGTGGGATTGTTATTGGTGACCGGAGTAGTCATGAGGCCTGTCTTCATTTTCCTCAGTTATTCTACTTTTTTTCATTTACTGTTTTTTTTTCCTTCCCTCACCTACTCTCTCCTACGAAAATCAAGACTTTTCTTAGCTTAGTTTGGAAACGTAGAGTTCAGTTCTCTGTGATTCTGTTAGTCTCGGTATTCTTTGTTTGGAGATTCACTTACGTCCATAAGTATTTACTGGCGGACAATAGGCATTACACATTTTACGTGTGGAAAAGGGTATTTCAGAGACATGAAATTGTGAAATATTTATTAGTTCCAGCCTACATGTTTGCTGGTTGGACCATAGCTGACTCTTTGAAATCAAAGTCAATTTTCTGGAATTTAATGTTTTTTGTATGCTTAGTCACTTCTACAGTTCCTCAGAAACTACTGGAATTCCGTTACTTCATTTTACCGTATATTATATATAGGCTTAACATACCTCTGCCTTCCGTATCTAGACTTGTTTGTGAACTTGGTTGTTACACAGTTGTTAATTTTCTAACTTTTTATATCTTTCTGAACAAGACTTTTCAGTGGCCAGATAATCAGGACATACAAAGGTTTATGTGGTAATGGCAGCAATAATTTGAATTTTAAAAATAGACTTTCTACAACAAATAACTGGGTAAGTAGAAGTGGAATTCCTTTTAGGTAAATTCAGGGAAGTTGAATAAAAAGCATTAAGTTCAAGGCCAACCTAAAAGCCTGAGTAATGATCATAGAGTAGCTAACAGCTGTCTGAGAAGCTCTGGTGCTGCCAGCTTCTCAGGTCTGGGCACTTTCTGTGTGTGCACATGGAGGGTGCTGGGAAAGCTCCGCAGCCCTCGAACCAGCTGATGTCCTTTTGTAAAGGACATCAAAGAATTTGAAGACCATTTACAATGAACTAGCAGTATTTCTGAGTAAGTGGACAGATATTGCAGTAAATATTGCTCCGATCTTAAATTAGAATGGTTATACAGGCATAGCAAATCATGAGCTAGAGGCTTTGGGATGTTATCTAGAAATCAAGTTTATTAATTAAAAATGCAGAAGTGGTGAAGCCATTTGAACTAATTCTAAATTTGATGTTTATACAGGCCAAAGATAAACTGTGCTAATTAGAATACCTATTACAGATAATCTTTCTGTTAGGTACCTAGGGCTCATGTACGAAAATAACTGCAAACCTCGTGGCTTAGAACTTTCCCTCACATGCTTACAGGCAGCAGCACCTGGACTCAGCGCTACCATAGCTCACACCTTCAGGAGATGGGAGTCCACTGTCCCCTTCAGCTCACTCCAGCAATTGTTTGGGGTGCCTTATATTTGCACAGGTCCCTCCAGTCTGTCAGTGTCTTCACAGGGTTGTCTCTATGAACTTCTTATACAGATAAGGCCTTTCGATTTAGGGATCCTCTAATTCATATAATTTAAATTGCCCCTCTAGCCAGTCAAACCATAAGAACTCAGAGGTGAGACGTTATTGGTTCAGCTTTATCTTATAATTTAGGGAACAGTATTGGATATGACTCTGGGTTTTTCTTTTTGTCTTTTGGCTCTTTGTTTACTGTTTATTCATTTTATTAAATTTGAATTTAATAAAATGAATTAATACATTTAGTAGAAGTTTTTTCATTCAACTGTTACTCCATTACAGACACACAGACACTTGATTAGTTGTGTGCTGTGACTGTAAACCCAGAACTGTGAATAGAGCTTACTTTTTAACCCATTTTTTTTTCTGAGTTTTACACATGTGCACATACACGCACACACATGCACACACAAAGGGACCAAAAACTTTGCTTTTATTGTTGGATTATGTTTTCTTCGAGTTATAAATATGTGTAAATTTGTATATAAGTTTAAAAGCTACTTGAATAAAAGTTACATAGTTCTAAGTGGTCAGGCAGCACAGACCATTGCTTTTTGATACTTAGAAGGTGACTCCAGTAAAACAGCGATGGAGTTGTGAGCAGATCCGAAGGCGTCCCCCATTTCTGCCTTCACAATCGATTTATTATGATAGAGAACTAAGTCCAGGAAGGTGAGATTGCAAACACGTGCATTTGAATAAAGCAACTGCTGTCTGCTGCTCTCCTGCCAGGCCTTTTATATCTAGAAACACTGAGGGGATGGAGGAAAGATTTCGTTCCACGTGATGAAAGGAGACTGCTTTTAGAGGTCCTGTTTTCTTCTGGTTGTAAGTGTTGAGTCACTTCTGAATTAGACATTGTGGAGGTCTACAGGGAGAGAAGGGAGCAGTCTACACTGCTTTCCATAAGTGTTGATAGTAGGACTTGGCATTACAGAACAGGAGGCCATGAATTACAAGGTGCTATTTATTTTTCACTATGATTTAAAAATGGATGCATGTTGATGCTTTATAGCGTAGATGCTTCGTTAAATTTTTCTGGGCAGTTGACAAGAAGATGGTCATTTGCTGGTGAATTTCTCAGTCTTTGTCACTAAATGACAGCAGGTGTCACTTTTGGTTATTCAGAATAACAGGTTCATCTCGGAAATAATTTCTCCGGAAAGAGCCTTGCTTTTACAAATATTATAAATTATATTTCTGAAAAAGTTTGAAAGTTTTCCGAAAATTAAGTATTTTTACTTATTAGACTTAATTGAATTTATTGATTAATAAGTGATTATAAGCACAAAGCACCCTTGCAGGGGACCCTAATGTGGTTCCTAACCCTATCTATCCAGGGCAGCATATCAGCCCTGTCAGCTCCACCTCTAGGAGATCTCAGACCTCTGACTTCTGCAACCACCTGTACTCCTGCATATACCTCACTGCCCCACACATAAGTAAGTTAAAAATTCTCAAAGGTGGTTGTAGAAAATGTACCTCCTGCTGAAGGACTTGTGGAGCCCTGCAGTCTTTATCACTCCTCTTCCAGTAGGTAGTTTTAAAGTGTCTCATTTGAAAGGCCTAGCCTTGAGCTTGAGTAATCAAGTTAACCAGCTCTACCTTATGTGAAAATCCATAGGCATAGACTGTCATTCCCAGATATATACAGTGCAATGTATTTTGCTCGCATTTATGCTTCTTTGGGTACTTCTTTTATGGCTGTGCCTCACTAAATGGTGTGGAAATAGTGTTCCTTACATAATATGTTGTAGTACATAATAGTGCAAGAGGAATTATTCTCATAGTTACCTGTGTTTATCCTGTTATAAAATACCCGCTATAAACTAATGTCTATAATGTATTTCTAGTGTAAGCTTAACTGACATGACATTGTGCTCACCCTAATTGTCTAGAGAGAAGAGAAGGAATCCACAGCTTTAATGTAGAGTTCCTAAAGAGCAAGCATGTAATTTAGGTCCACCTCAAAACTACTCAGATAAAAAGAATATCACTATTATCTTTGAAGCAATTGGAATGTCTCTAAATGATTTTTTAAAAAGTGGACGTGATATTTTACCTAGAGGAAATTAAAATAAGATTGTAGATTGTACTTGATTTTGGTACCAGAATAAAGACAAGTTGTTGAAGGACAGTTGTTTATTCCTAATTGCAAATGAGAATGTTATGTCTGAATTCTGGTTAGTATCTGATGTATGTCTTACCCATTTCAACATGGATCCATACCCATTACACAGCCATAAAGCGCGTAAATACATCATATGTTACATGTTGGATAAATGTATATTGAATGGAGTTTTCAGCATAGAAGCAAACAGGTATCCTATAAAAGAACTGTATTACCAACTTAGAAAGTAAATTGTGTTTTATAATGAGAGCTACCCTAACACCTCTTCTGTCTGTTTTCTGAGTATTATTTCCAATAGTATTTAGTACAAATGTACACATTTAGTGTATATGTGCTACCTGCAATAGGATATGATTTTAATACTATTTGAAACACAGTCATCTCAATAATTATAATAGAAGTTTTGATGATTTGTGATTCTTTAATTATGAAATTTCAGCTGGTTAGAAACGTCTGATGTTCGACTATTTTAGCTCTAGGAAGGAATGAATTACTGTATTTGGGTGATTTTTATGTATTTGAATTTGATGGCAATATGTTGTTGAGAAATATATATTAAATTAGATAATGATGATATTTTAATATACCCATGAATCCTGCACTAAGTTCTGTGATGCCTGAAAGTTACTTCTAAAAGTAAATTTTGTGATAATTTGGTAATCCGATAATAGTCAATATTTTAAAATAAGATATTGATCAGTGGTAGTTAGTTCCTTCAGCACTGTTAAACCAAAAGTAGTTAGGGTATGATTTTTTTAAAAAAAAGTTATATTAAGTATTACATCATATTTGTATTTGGAAATTTGAGTTTATTTGAGCTGTGTGTTTATCACTGTTTAAGATGAGTAAGAATCAAAAAAAAATTCCAGTAGTTGTCTTCATCTATTGATGATGTTTTGCTGTTAAGATTGATCTGTCTGTCATCTCTCTACCTACCTGCCTACTACATGCTTTTTCACTCGAGCCCACTCACATGCCTATGATGTAGATGCTGATTTCTTTTTTGACTGTTGGAGAAGCTGAATGCTAGCATCCTGGTGACTCTCCAAAGTCCATTCCTTTTGTCATTGAATGTAAAGCTGTGAGCTTTTGCTATTCTGCCTCAATGTCGAAGTTCATTAAGAGAAAACAGGGAGTGAAGTTTCCACTCTGTACTGGTCAGACCCCTTGTGTTGTATTGCTGATAACTTACATGTTCCTGAAAATGTTAGAAGCTTTTCAGAGGTGTACAGATAAAATGATAAATACTACATGGTTTCATTACAAGACAAATTGCTTTAAAAAATTCTCATTTTTTAACTTGGAAAAACAGCTCCAATAACAGTAAGTTCTTATTTTAAAGGCATTATACATTCTACATTGCTTTTAATGTAAATTGGAGATTGACAAATAGGTTTCAGATCACAAGAAAAATGCCTTTGTTTTTAATTACTTGGTCTTTTCAGGGATATCAAACTCCCCAAATAAGTTTTGTATTTACTGAAAACATTTCGTCAGGAAAGTCAATGACTAGAAAGAATAGATATGGCATAGTTCCTTTGCCAGATGTCTCACAACCTGCCATTTTAAGCCTGTGGTTTTGAAGCTGGTTTTCTTTATGTTCTTTGGTAAGATAAGTTCAAGTATTTCTTGAAGTATCCTGCCTTTGATATAGTTTGTTTCTGAATTAAAGTAGAACTTTTAGTTCTTGTTACCCTATTTGTGAGACAAATTTGAGTTGTGCAACGTAGCCAAAGGTGATACAATATTTCAGTGTACCAATAATACAGTATTTATCTTACCTACATTTATATTTCTTTGTCAGTGGAAAAAAAAATGTGTTTGTGTTTTCCCTGTACTTCTAAATAGGAAAGTACTGTCTGTATACATTTTTAATGAAGTGTTTACCAGGTGATGACAATGTGCTATATTTTGAAGCGTTCTTGTAATTTAACTTTTTTTTTACTAGTCTAGGTTAAACTTTTTATAGTTTTGTATTTTGAACCACGAAGATTTATAATTATTCACCTTTATTATTGTTTGTTTTTTAGGAAGGGTCTCATAATCCAGGCTAGCCTAGAATTTGCAATGTAGCCAAGAATGACCTTGAACTCCTGATTCTTTTGCCTCTACCTCTGGTCTGCTGGGATTATAGGCATGCTGCACCAGGCCTAGTTTATGCTGGGGATAAAACATACACCTTAACTGGTCCTGCTTATTATACTGTGACTCAAAATGTTTTCCTGAGTTACATGAAGTGAAGGTTAATGTAAAAACAAAAATCACTTATTCCATAATTATGTCTCAGATGATATAACCTAACATACCGTGCCATGGAATTGTTTACCTCACGGGTTTTAGGATTGTTTCCAACAGTAGTGATGGGTTTGGAAACTGCTTTACGGCTACTGCTGTTAGTCTTTGCTCGCTCACTGTATCTCAGTTCTCTGGTATTAACTCTACCCATGCATGGAGAAACTATGCCAAGAGAGATTATTTGTCCAATATTACAGAGTAGCTGGTTGAGCTTAGGTTTATGAATAGGCAACCTGAGCATAATCCTGTGGTTGTTTGGGGGAGTGAGTAAAGGACACTAAACCTACCTTCACTTTTGTAGCATTTTAGGGGAAAAAATGCCATGGAACTATAATTAGATGAACTACTTTTCTAGCTCAGACAAGTGAGGCACACACTAACTGGCTCTTCTAGAGCAGACAATCTTCCATTTCCCATGTGTCCATCAGTGCTTCAGATTGTAAGTGGACACAAAATCTACAATGCAGGCTGAAGTTTTCATTCCTATTAATTTACAAGGAAGCAAAGATCTTTGTTATCAAATAGAGATGTAACTGCTTAAAACTTAATTTCTCCAAAAAACTCCTATTTTGGAAAAATGGTTGTTTTAAATGATCTGTGATTTTTAAACCTTTCTGGAAGAATTTGATCTTTGTTTTAGAACTATAAATATGTTTTAATGTGATTTTTAAGGTTTTACATTTTATTAAAGACTGCAGTGTTTGACTCTGAAATTGTAATTCATGTCATTTAAACTTAATTAAATCTATTTATAAGAATAAAAACTTTTTAAATAATTTGCTTTATATATTTATTTATAAGAAAATTAATATTTTGAATGTATTGTGCCCTTTCAACCTGCTTTAGTCAAAACTGATGGTCAATTACTCTTTCCATTCACTCTACTTCAAGCCATTTTCCCACCTAACTTTAGACTACTGGTCTTGAAACAAGGAGTGAATGCATTTTATATATCTGTAAAAATTCTCATTCCTATCCTGGATGCCTTGATCTACTTATAACTCCCAAGTCACAGTGGTCAGTTATGGTTACTGAGTTTCTGGGCTTGGTTTTCTTTGTTAGTGTAGGTCCAGAGAAAGGTCAGCATTTACCAATACTGCTAGCTTGAAAAGACTCTAACTTTGGGCAATTTCCATTATGAAGACATGAATACTTCTGTGTCTTCATTCTTTATATGGACTTTACCCTCACACACTGCTAAGAGGTTAGCAAAGGACTTACATACTACAGATTTGTGGACTGTAGGTAGATGGTGCTTGTTTGTTTCCAAGCCACCCAGACCCAAAATAATCACACAGAAACTATATTAATTAAAATATTGCTCGGCCTATTAGTTTAGGCTTCTTATTAACTATTACATCTTGAATTAACCCTTTCTATTATTTGGCTCAGAGTTTACTGGCAAGGTTTCAGGGTGTCTTGTCTCCTTGGCACCTACATGACATTTCACTCCATTTTCTTTCCTCTATCTGTGCTTGGAATTCCCACCTTACTCTATTCTGCCCTGCTATAGGCCCAAAGCAGCTTCTTTATTAACCAATGATATACAGAGAGGAATCCCTCATCACCTTCCCTTTTCTGTCTAAATTATATGTAATTTTATTATGTTAAAGTTAAAATCTTTAACATAATAAAATTACATATAAGAAAACAGTTATCAATCAAGAATTATAGTTACAATACATCTATTTTATCTTTTATCATAACTAAGGAAAACTATGACTACAACTATCTATTCTACAACTCCATCAAAGACCACAGAAGGACATAATGTTACCTAAGTTACAGGAAGTGTGTTGTAAGCAACTTCCAAAACTCTAGAATTGATAGAGATAACTCTAGTTGGACACTCACCCCAAATTCTGTAATGTTTCGGCATCCATCTTAGCCTACAGGCCTATAGTATCCAGCAGACTTTTTCATGAAGCAGGAAATTTGAAAGACTTCTGCCTATATTGGTGGTTTGTCAGTCACTTTCTTCGTTGTCCTTCAGAAGGTCTGGAGACTTTCACGAAACAGGAATCATGAAGGACTGTCTTACCTTTAGGCAAGTTCAGCAGTCATTTTTCTGCAGGTCCTGTATGTCCAGTTCATACAGCATAACATCAAGCAGTCCAGGAAAGAGCAGTTTCTTGCCCAAATAGCTAAGAAACTCCACAAGGAGCCTCTTCATTCCTGAACGAAGTACTTCGTTCCTCTTGAAGTAGATTGGTACTGCCAGGAGCAGATGAGTCTCATTGTCATGAAAAGTCCTAAGTTCTTAAAACATTTTAAATGCCATATTCTATAAGTCTTTGAAGGATTTGAAGAATAACTATCCTTCTGAAATATATCTCTGTACATTTAGAAAACCTAACTAAACTGACTACAAGCTTGACTATTATAGGTGACTATCAACCTGTATTTCTTAATTATGTATTACATTTTTAAATGAGCTGCACAAAACAATACCTTAATCAAGAGCAGAAATATATCAAAATTGACCTTAAGTTTGTATCACTAAGCCAAGATCCATACTAATGCAAAGTAATCATCTCTATAGCATATTCCCCTTTAAATGTAAACAAATATAAAGAATTATTTTGAGATTTTGGGTGTACTTCTCTCCAAATTGTTTCCTGCTTTTTGTTGGGTAAAGTAATTTTAGGGGTTTACAGAGACCTTTCAGAGGTTCTTGTTTCCGTCGAACTACATCAGTCTGGAAGGAATCCACAGGTTTTCATCCTCTGAAAACAAAAGCAGAACCTCTTTTCCAAATCAACATATCTTTTGACTCAAATTTTGAAGTCAAGATACCTTTATATATGTTGGTTTAGTTTATCAGCACATACAATGAATTATCTCTCTGCACTTACTCATTCACAGTCAAAAAATTCAAAGAAAATGTAATAATGTACATAATTCAGGCTCTCTATATATTTCATCTTTATGTGGCTTATTTTTCTTAGAATAAGAATATATTGTTTTTCCTACAAGTTTGATATTTTATTATCTTTACTCCTTTAACCTACGACTGTACTCTTTTATAATATATTATGGTCTATACTCTTTCCTCTTTCTCAAGTCTAAGTACATTTATCCAACACTGACCCATTTAAAGGTCTTTTCCACCTAAATGCCTTTGTTGCATATCTGTAGTCCTTTTCTGACCAGGACCGCTTCTTTAAATGCTAAGAGGTGTTGCTAGTACTAAGGCTGCTTTGCCTTTTGGTACCACCCAGTCCAAAATGGCAGAGGTCTGTTCAGTGCCAGTTCTGCAGTCCTTGCTCAAGCACCATATCCAAGCACACAGTGGGTCTATGTTGTTTTTAAGCAAGTTGTAGCCCTCTGCTCACAAACCCCATTTAAATAGTCCATAGCCAAACCTTCCGAAAACTCAGAATTATTCATACTGTGAACCAGAAAGCTGCTGTTTTTTAAAAAAGTCACACGGTTTTTACTGCACTTCTCTTAAAGGAGTCATAGTACCACTGCTCACGATGAGCCCATCTGGAAAAGAAAAAATGCAGCTACTAAGAAGAGATACTTTATTCTTTTGTGTCTAGATTTACTTCCCAAGCTCCCTCCTACTTCATGTGGATGAAATCAGCCCACGTTGGTGCCAATCTATTGACGGAGACTGCTTGTTCATTTCCCAGCTACCCAGACCTGAAATAATCACACAGAAGCTATATTAATTAAAACATGGCTTGGCATATTAATTTAGACTTCTTATTAACTATTACATCTTGAATTAACTATTATTTGCAAAGTTCTGGCGCATCTGTCTCTTTCAGCAGCTACATGGCATCTCACTGACTCTACCTTCATTCTTCCTCTATCTCTGCTTGGAATTCCTGCCTTACTCCATTCTGCCCTGCTATAGGCCCAAAGCAGCATGTTTGTTAACCAATGGTATACAGAGGGTAATTCCACATTAGTGGACCTCTTTGTGACTCTCTCTCCTAGATCCCATCTATTTAAAACTATTTTGGCAATTTTAAATTCTATTCCCTCACGGCATAAATCCGTCATTTCAGCTTTCTGATTTTTAGGTACTCTTGGGAAATGATATATAAATGTGGGTCTACCCAGTGAAATCTTTTTATATGACTCATTGAATCTGACAATTTCATACATATGTAAAGTTCATTTTGATTTCTGTAATTCCCCTCCTACCACTGTCACCCCCACAAGCCCTTTCCCATATTCACACCTCTTTTGGGGCCCTTTGAGTTTAATCAAGATGATCTGTGTGATCATGGATGAATTTGAAGCTGACAAGAGTCTGGTAGTATGACTAGTGGGTACATAGCTGAAGACAAATACTGTCCCTCCAATTGCTCTGGCTAGTGGAACCATAGATACCCAGGGACCCAGAAAGGAAGGTAATGGTAGGCAGAGAAGTCTTGATTCATTTTGGGGATGAACAGTTTATCCTCCCTGAAGTTATTTATATAGCATTTAGCAACTAAAGAGCACCAAAAGCAGGTCTGAGCAGTGATAATAATGCATTTGTCCTATTCTCTGAGTTCCTTTTACTGAATCTCCTGTATTTGTTACTTTATTTAATTTATTTATCTAGTGCTAGAGAACATTGTACTGTGCAAGTTATCTCATACCTACAGCTTTCTACAATCAGATAATCACATCTTTGTCAGGGTTTGTGCCTGAGAAAGGAACTGCAGACCATCTGGACCCTGACATTCCCTAGAATCCATTAGTAGTACGGAAGGACGAGGCAGGGCACCATGAATCCTTCCTTCAAACTATGATTGAGTATGATAGGCCCGTAGCAGCAACCCCAACTGATGTGAGGTCATGATTATATTCCAGAAGACAGCACTTCTTAGTCCTCCCTGTCTCTTGACTCTTATAGTCTGTCTTCTCTCCTACGATAATCCATAAGGCCTCAGAGAGAGCTGCATAAATGCCCTGCTCTTGAGGTTGAGCACTTGACTTATTTTACTTACCCAATAGCCATGTATGTTTGCATTCACCAACATCTATGGCAAGTCTAAGCTTCTCTGTTTAAGACTGGGAGTAACATAGTTACAAACAAATACTTAGGTAGCTTAGTGCAAAGATAATTTAGCTAAACAACAGTAGTAGTTTGCCTTCGGGGCCTAAAGCTTCTTCAACCATAGATTTAAAACAAAACAAAACAAGCTTACAGCACCAAACATGAATCCCTTAAGGATTAGATCTCAGATCTTAACTAAGCAGAGCTGGTTACCCCCTTTAACAGTTCTGCCACTCCACTATTGGACCAGTGGGTACAGCTGACCTGGAAGGTTGGTAAAGTAGTTCATAGTTCATAGGGTGTGACTACTGATGTCTTTTCTTCCCCAGCAGCACATTTTAGCACCATGAAAGCCAATAGGGAGGAAACATCCATCTCAGTTCCAACTTAATTTCTTTATTTCTTGGCAAACAAGTGTGGTGTCTTAATCAATAGGGTTTTATCCATTAGTTCTGATGAGTAAATAAGAAAAGTAGCAAAAGTGTATTTTTTTTTGAAGAATTTTAGGTGTGCCTAAAAGTTTTGTTTAACAATCCTTTGCTTTTAGAAGCAGCATTTCCCAGACATGCAGGCTATCTCTCTTCCAAATTTCTGTTTTTAGCTTGTATTTCTAATTGGTTTAGAAAATAGTAACTTTCCATGACTTTTCATACATTCTTAGTTTGGGTTAAACCTCCCTACCTACCCCTTCATCTTTCCTATCCCTCTGCTCCATGCTTGTTTAGTCTTTTTAATGTTCACACTTTCAGTTCTCATGTCATTGTGTTCTGTTTT